CGGGTGGGTAGGGGAGGGCGCTCTCTCTCCCCTTCTAGCTCTTTCTTTTTCCCTCTGTCTCCCCACCATCGACAGATACACTGCCGCGTCTCTCCGTCTCTCTTTTTCTCCCTCTTTCTCTTGCCGTCTCTTCTCTCTTCGCTCTCCTTCTCTTTCTCTCTTTCCCTTTTCTTCCCTCCCCTAAGTACTCATAGAGCCTTTCATTCGAGAGACACAACGTTTCTTTTCGAAGTCACCGATAATGATATTTAATAATAAATATGTATCTTCGTTCATTTATGCGTGCACTATTGTTCCCCTTACGAAAAATACATAGTATATATATATATACATATATATATATCTATATTGCCCTTTTCTTCCCTCGAAAACGTGACGGCCTCTTCTCTCTACTTGCTCGTACACACGGTGCTAATTACGCACTCTATGCGACACCACGCTCGCATAGAGACGCAATGCTTCTTTTACGTGTATATACACACCGATGTTGGCTGTTGCACAGTGGTAGTGGAACGCGTAATAGCTTTTTCACATGGAGAAGCTTACGCGCGGATTGCTTCTCTCGCCACCGACTCTACACGCGATGCCGCACACACAGAGGGCGAACCTGGCGAGGACGGGCTGGCTGGACGCTTGTATATTCTCTCTTTCTCTTTCTCCAACCCGATCCCCTTCCACACCGACCCGAAGTCTCACTCACTACTTGTCTGTTTGTCTCTTTCTCCGCGTTCCTCTGTCTTTTTTCCACTTGCACGAGCTTAGCCTTCCTTCCAGCGGACGCCGGCGAACTCGTACAGCGTTGCCAAGCCACGCTTTCACCCGCCCGCTCACAAAGGAAAACCCGAGTACGCCGACCAATCGAACTACATTTCTGCAGTGGTGGGGATGGCGGGAGTCTACCACTACTGACATCGAGGCAACGTCGCTTTCTCTCTTCCGTTCGTAGAGAATTCGAGAGCCATGGCTCGTAGTCCCCGGTAAGGTAGAGGGGCAAACGACTGCAAACCCTTCTCTACCCTTGAAACTCGAGGTCAACTTTTAGGCAGAGAAAGAGAGCGAAAGGGAGAGGAAGACACACCAACTCTGACTTGTCGCCGTGCGCTCTTTCTTCTCGCGCCTTTTTTTACCCTTCTTAGTTTCGTTACACTGCTACGGTCACTGGAATTTGCTCCACATTGGTACTTCCTGCTTTTCGCGCACCCTTTTTCCTGCGTGTCAAGTCGGCTTTACCGACCGAAGAACTCTCACTTCGTGTCACTTGTCAGTCGATACGGAAGAACTTTTTAAAATTTCCAAGAAAACAAAACGCGGAACATCTTTTACAATTTTTTTAGATTTAACGAAATTACGCTTTCCTTTAGTATATCCATCTCTTTAAAGGCTTGAAATATGCACATTACATATATATGAATGTAATAGTTTATTAATATCGAAGCACCCTCGTTGTTTAATAAATCAATGTTAAGTTGTACATTTTCTACTACAAATTCGTTAGGTTTTATAAAATGTACCTAATTTAAAAATTTTACATATTTTTGAAAATCCGGTGAAAAATTGAAAAGTTTAAATGTGTATACTTTCTCGTTCGTCTTCGTAAGATAAAATGTAATAAATATTATTCCTAACAATTTCAGGGACAATGCTTTATACTAACAAATCATGTTTCTATAGAAACATAATTAACTTTTAATGATTACGATAATAAGTAAATCTTTCAGTGCGTTAATTATCTTCCTTTCACTATTTAGAATAGTATTTCAAAAAGTATGGTTACAACGTTTTACATATATACTGAACTTATTCAAACGAAACACAAACTGTCATGCCACATATGGAATGCAATTCCTAGCATATATGTACTCTATAAACTCGTACCCCATAGCCAACGCATACCCCGTAATTTCTAGCTGTTATCAGAAGAAAGATCAAATCTATTAATATGGAAACGTATCGTGGGAACGATCGCTGTGCAACGTTGTTAAACGGCGAACCTGAACCTCCACGAGAAATTTCTAACGCGTAAGGAGCAACGTGAAATTGCGCAAGCTTTTGGAATTCCGATTTTTTAAAATTGCGCACAGACAAGACAAAATGAAAATGTATCATAGGATTTGTACGTCGGGCTTCCTTTCTTCCCACTCAACCCCCAATCAAGAGGCGGGTGAGTCGGAGGTAACCCGGCAAATCGAGAGAGAGAGGAGAAGAGAACCGGGTCCGGGTCAATAAGACGCATGAGCAAGTGAAACAGAGATGGAACGAGAGAGAGAAACCGAAAGAGCGAGCGAGCAAACAGGCACGTTGGAGAAACAGAGAGAAAGAGAGACCGCGCATTCCCAGGGCTAGGCAACGTAACGAACGAACGAACGAACGAATGCAAGAAGGGGCACGGTGAACAAGGGAAATGGTGGAATGGCAAGAAAAAGAGAGGCACCGATGACGAAAGGAAGGAGAAAGAGAGAGGGAAAAAGAAACATACGATGAAAGAGAAAAGGCACAGCAGGCAACGAGAGTCCTGGCTTCAAATTCTCGACTCGTGTTGGTACCGCGATGTTCGTTCGAGCGAAGCGAGCCGATTCCGTCCGAAACGAACCGATCTCTCTCGATTCCGTCAGTGTGAAAAAGTAACCGAATAATTTTACGACAAGACGTCCAAATTAGAAAATAGTAATAGATTTTACGAATTTATATAGATCCTGCAAAATAGGCTTTATGTAACTTTAATGATAAATTTAAGAAAATTTATGAAAGGATTTTTCGATGATTTCAAGAAAGTGTAAAAAATAGTAAATACATATGTAAAATTGTTAATCTATTTGGGACTGTAATATCTTTTAAAGTAGAAATAAAATAAGAGAAGTATTATTATATATCTGAGAATTATGAAAACAAATGTACACATTCCACGTATACATACAAATAAACGTATGTAATTCACTGAGTTCACATTAGTATTTCAGTTAAGTAGCTACCAAGATATGTGTAGACCTATAAGTAATATGATTGGAACTAAAAAAAGATCATAACAGTCGTCGATGAAAAACTTTCAATAAAAAATAAAATATGTTATATCGGAGGATGTCCAATCTTCTTTTTAAGATACAAAATTAAATTTTTCAATACATAATTTTCAAAACATGCACCTACAATATATGTAATAATTTTATCAAAAAATGATATGCATCTACGTTTTAAATAAAATTAAATAAACTAATAAATAAGAGATAAAGCAGGCTAACTTTGAATTTTCTACATATTTAAATTATAGGTAATAATAAATATAAATAATCATGCATTCCCATCAATATAATTTATATAAATGTACAAAATATGTAAATACTAGAATATTAATATTTATAATAATAGAATATTAATAGTAATATTTCTTAAATATATCTTAAGTTAAATTAACTGAAATGATTAAATTAAATCATTGTATATAAATGTCCGCTCCCCAATCAAAAAATAAGATGAAAAATTAACAAGTGACTAACTAAAATTAAAAATACATCCCATCTCTGTTCTTTTCGTTGCTTTAAATTTGACAAGTTTGTCAAAAATTTGGAACACAAGTAAGATGATCTTGCTATTTTGATACTACTTGTTGACCAATTCTGTCGATAAAAATTATGTCATTCTGTTGAAAGCATTTTTACGTTTATTCGTGTATGTCACGACTTTTAAGCATACAATGCGAAATTTTAATGTACAGCGTAAGAAAAGGAACATGATATATCTATTATGGACCAATGCCAAACGCGTGTATGTATATATGTACATACTTCATACCATGTACATTTAAGAGTGTTATATTTGCATTTATTCGATGCACCTGTATAAGTATAAAGAAACAATGTGAAATACTTAATATCCTTTTTCGCGTAAATGTATATGTTTTCTCATACATATAAGCGAATTTATGCACATATGTCTGTATAACGTTCTCCTGTTTTTTCTTGACATCGAATAAATGGTAATTGCGAGCTACACGTACATATATAACGTTGAACGTGCCTGTCAGTATTACGCAAGATCACTTTCAATTTTATTATTCCTATATTTGAAACTGCTCTTGCGTTTCGTTATAATTCAAGTGGAATATTTTTACGCAGGGACCTAAATCCCTATCGTTATAAGTTGTAAAAAGAATTGTTTAAAAAGTTAAAGTTAGTTTTAAAAGTTAAAAGTTAACAAGCGAAAAGAATATAATATTAATTCTATAAAATAGTACTATCAATTATATGCTTTCTATAATATATACTCAGTATTTGGTGACTACAATATGTAAATAATTTAAAAACTATACATATACATAATTTTTAAATCACGAAGGTTTATAGACGGCGGCAATACAGAGAAAACATTTCAAAATAGTTATGCAACAATACTATGTTATGCTCTTCAGCTAAAGTTAATTTCATACTTTTAGATGTTTATCTTCGAGATATTCACGTAACATTAGATAGTATGGAACATTTCAAAATATATATAATATAATATGAACTTTTTATATAGCAAATGAAATAATAT